ATTGCTCTGGAGAGAATTTGAAAGATTTGGTTGAAATTATGACTTCTGAGATGTTAAGATTAAAAATATGGTTTGATGTAAATAAATTATCTTTGAATCTGACAAAAACGAAATACATGATATTTGGCAATCGTGTAGAGGAAGAAGTCATTATGTCCATTAATGTAGAATTGATTGAAAGAGTTACTGAATTTCGCTTTTTGGGTATAATAGTAGATGAAAATTTGACGTGGAAATCACATATTGAGTATATTAGAAAGAAGATGGTTAAAAACATTTATATTTTGGGAAATGTAAGAGATTTATTAGACCACAAAACAATGCGGTCATTGTTTTGTATTTCTCATTGTTTTTTCCATACTGTGTCGAAGTTTGGGAGAATACATATGAGAATACTATAAAACCTAAAAACTTATTACAGAAGAAAGTGATACGAATGATTCATAACGTTAAATATAGAGAACATACAAATAAATTATTTATAAAATCAAAATTAATAAAATTAGGAGATTTAGTGAAACTACGGACACTATTAATTGTGTTTAAGGCTAAAAATAATGTTTTGCCTTCTAAGTTACAAAGACTCTTTTTAACGTGTTTGGGGGGAGAAGACAGCAGAAGGAAATTTTATTTTAAGCATCAGCTAGCTAGGACAACACAAAGATTAATGAGTCCAACGGTTAGGGGTATACAACTGTGGAACTCACTTCATTATAATTTAAAGAATTGTATAAATTTACATTGTTTTAAAAAGTGTTACATGTCTAAAACGATAACTCAAAAATAAGGACTCAATAAGGATTCATTACTTTTTGCTTCATTTATTTTATTTACTTATCTTTTCTCCTTGTTACTATGTGGAGTGGTATATTCTGATTGTAAATTTGTTGTTTGGTTTGAGTTAGGACTGGAAATAAGTGTTATTGTTAGTTTGTTCCTTGACTTTTGGTGCCCACTTGCAATATCAGTTGGATTGTAGATAGGGGGCGGGGTTTAATAAGAATATATTCTTCTGCCTGTTCCTTTTCACACATGGTTGCAGTGCTTTACTGACAGAAAGTGTAGTTGGTTTGTTTGAAATAAATAAATAAATGAAATGAAATATTCATCTCAGCATAACTAAAACATGGTGACTGACTTCAGAGTTTCAAGTCCACATCCTGGACTCTCCAGAAAACCACACAGCTGCTTCACTCCTGAATCCTGCAGCTTGTTCAAGCTCAGGTCCAGCTCTCTCAGATGGGAGGGGTTGGACTTCAGCGCTGCTGCCAGATAATCACAGCTGATCTCTGACAAACCACAGCGCCTCAATCTGTATAAAGAATGAAAGATGTAAGTTTATTAGACAAAGTGTGAGCTTGAAATCATTCAGTGTTTCATAATCCGTTCAAAGCTGAAGAAGGTTCAGAATGTAGAAGTTTAGAAAATGGAAACTCCAAACGGCTGAAGCCAACAGGAAGCAGCTTCAAACAAAAACAACAAGGAAAAAAAACCTCTGAATTTTTCATATTAAAGTCGTACATTTATCATAATAACAAGATAAAGACTTTAAAAAGTCGTGTTTTTCATTTAAGGAACCACATGGCTTCACTTTTAAAGGTAAAGTTGGAAAGAAATGGACATATTTGAAGTCCAACAAAAACCTTTTCCAGTCACATTATTAACCCTTTAAGACCTACCACAACCAAACCAGGCTGGCTTGGTTGTGTATAACCAACCGTTATATGCCAAATTTTAATAATATGTATGCATGAAGTCCATAGTAACAACTACAAAAAAAATTGAAAATCATTTTTCAAATCCTAGTTTCATTTTTGAGATATACCTATTGTTTTATACTGGTGATGACCAGAGGGGCCGATGGTGCCTCGCTTCTGTCAGTCTTCCCCAGGGCAGCTGTGGCTACAGCTGTAGCTGCCTCCACCAGTGTGTGAATG